CACAGTTACTGTTGATTGCCAGCATTTGTCCCGGTGCTGCTGAAGACTAAAACTGAATAGTTTATTAACAAATAAAATATGACAACAAATAAAATATGACAACAAATAAAATATGACAATTAACTAATACATATGGAGCGGCGGCGGTCTTCACATTCTGTCCAGAGCTTCTCTGAGAGAAATGAATGAAACTTTGTCCGTATAGCAGTGCACTTTTGGCTCTATAGGGTGGGCCATGGTCTTTAGTGCGTCAACTCTCTGTAGTGCTTTGGGCCAGACGGGTCACAATTGGGACAAATAACCCTTTGATTTTTATGAGTTTTACACGTCACAAAATCAGTTGAATAAAGATGAGCCGAGAAGAGTGAATTGTAGATTTATTGTAGATCGAAGAGTGAATTGTGGATTTATTGTAGATCGAAGAGTGAATTGTAGATTTATTGTAGATCGAAGAGTGCGCAAAGTATAGATTTATTGTAGATCGAAGAGTGCGCGAAGTGTAGATTTATTGTAGATCGAAGAGTGAATTGTTGATTTATTGTAGATAGAAGAGTGATTCGTAGATTTATTGTAGATCGAATAGTGAATTGTAGATTTATTGTAGATCGAAGAGTGTATTGTAGATTTATTGTAGATCGAAGTGTAGAGTGAAGATTTATTGTTAATTTTTTTAATGAAATGTAGATTAGTTGTAGAGTGTAACGTACGTGAATTGCTGATTTATTATAGGTTTTATAGCGAATTTTATTTATTTAGATTATTGAATAAATTTTAGATAATCATACGGTGTAGGTAGAAGAGTGAATTTTCGATTTATTATAGATCGAAGAGTGAATTGTAGATTTGTTTTAGATTTTAGAGTGCATTGGTAACTTGCCGTATATATATGAACATGCAGCATGGTCACTGATACTGTGACAATTAAATATGTTAAATTGACTGCCGCAAAATTGTATATAGTTGACTTGTATTGAGCATTTAAAACTGTGCACTGTAAAAACGTAGATAACTGTAGAGTTTGTAACTATATAAAGTGTGTAACTGTAGAGTTTAACTGTGACGTGTGTGAATGTATATAAAGTACATGCATTATATGCGTACAATTTATGAACAGAGAGTGCATTTGAAATTTAATTCAAATGCACTCTCTGGTCATAAATTGTACGCATATAATCAAGAAATTTCTGTCATCTTATAATAATAAAGTACATGCGTGTGCATGTGTCACTGTAAAGTAAAATTAACTGTGACTGTAAAGCATAATGCAACTGTAAAGTGTGTGTATAACTGTATGTATAACTTTGACGTGCATGACCGTAAAGTTTGTAGCTGTATAGAATATAACTTTGACGTGTGTGACTGTAAAGTTTGTAACTGCAGAGGATAACTTTGACGTGTGTGACTGTAAAGTTTGTAACTGTAGAAAATAACTTTGACGTGTGTAACTGTAAAGCTTATAACTGTAGAATATAACTTTAAAGTCTGTGACTGTAAAGTTTGTAACTGTAAAGTATAATTGACATATAATAAACTTCGCTGAGAAGCAATTCAAATTCCGAACGCGTTTCGGTTGGTCACTCAGACGGAGCAGAGACGCGGCATCAGCTGCTGCCATTACTATCTCTGTTATAATTATGTGCTGTTAATTATAAATATTATTATTATTATTATTGTTATTATTATTAATCATTAAATATAAATATTAATATTATTATATTATTATTATTATTACGCGAAGACATCATCGTGACGTGTGCTCCAAGAGTAATTTTCAAATTCCTGAAAAATTACAAATTCAAAACGTCTATGAAAGGTAAAAATTTTAAAAATTTTTACACAAATTTTACAAATGATTATTAGAATATTAAATATTATTAACAAATTTAAAGCTCCTTAAAATTCCTGAATAGATTCAACACACATAACACCTTCCAAAATGGATTCAACATCACAGATAAAGCTGCAGAAAAACATTTAACGTAAATTGCTTTAATGAATTGGCAACGTTTGTAAAACTTCCAATATTTATTAAAATAATAGAAGGTGTACTTGGAAAAACTTTCTATTTATAATTAAAAAAATGTATAGTTTTAATCTGATAAAAATATTCTGAAGCAAAACGCAATTTAAGATGATCGGTGCATGAAAAACTTTAAAATTTATAAGGCTCAAACAAATGTATCTTAAATCAGTTTGTTGTTGGTCATTACGGAGTGAAATGTTATAATGTTATAGGAGCATCAACCGTCATGAGTTTAAAATATATAACAGTCTAGTGTTGCTAAATTATTGTGCACATCAGGCACTCATTACAATCATGCAGTTAGTGGGGACATGCAACGCTATTAAATATATATTCTTTATATTTTGGATTTGTAATAAATGCAGATCTTTATTGTGGATTTTCAGCGCTAAATTCTCTCATTTAATGGCGAGATTCTCAGCACTAAATGGAGACAATAATGTAAACATCTGGCAATATATAAATGCATTCATTCAATGTGGACATCTAGCGCTATAAATGCTCATTTAATGTGGACATCCACCACTATAAACAATTCAAAAAATGCCCGACAAAAATATCTCATACATGTGGAAGAATTGTCCATTATATGCATACAGTTTTATTCAAAAAATTAAAAATTTTATATAAATATACTAACTTATTTATAAATTCATTGCAAAATACAGTCAATATATGGAGACGACCTGCGCTAAATGAACTCATTTAATTAATGCATCCAGCGCTAGATAGATACACTTAATGTTTACATCCAGCGATAAATGCTCGTATTTAATTAACACTAACTTATCGCTAAGACTTTTTTTTAATCCCAGCTACGGACATGATTGCAGAATATACGAATAAAAAACTCATCCCCAATTCTAGATAGGAAAAATTTCCACTGACGGAGTTCTTTAAAAGTTGAAAGCGAGGGTAGGAGTGATTATTAAGAGAGGGATACGCTTTAAAGGAGTCCCTGAGATTGGGAGGCAGAGGGAGCCGGGGGCGGTCCCTCATAATCAAGGGCCAGCATAATGGTCTCCTTAGGGCCACCCTCGCCACTCCGTGCCCCGCCTCACATGGCCGCGCCACAGAGTGCCACCATCACCACACACACGTCGGTAGCAGCAGGGTTCGGTGAATATTTACGTGTAATTATCGATAGGAAATTCTCCTTTACAATAGTTTTGAGTGGATTGTACATTTAATAAGCGTGATGCTTAGGCGTAATTTTGGAATCCAGAGGTCTCGATTGACGATCGTTCGGAGATGGTGAGGAGTCAGTGGTGTTTGATTAGAGATGGAAGGAGTCAGTCGTTTTTGATTAGGGACTGGGAAGAGTCAATATTATTTGATTAGGGACAGGGAAGAGTCGGTGGTGTTTGATTAAGGGCGAATTGGAGTCATTGGTGTTTGATTACAGACGGGAGAAGTCAGTGGTGTTTGATTATGGATGGAGGAGGAGTCAGTGGTGTTTGATTAGGACGGGGAGGAGACAGTGGTGTTTGATTATGGATGGGGGAGGAATCAGTAGTGTTTGATTAGAGATGGGAGGAGTCAGTGGTGTTTGATTAGAGATTGGGCTGGAGTCAGTCGTGTTTGATTAGGGACAGGGAAGAGTCGGTGGAGTTTGATTAGGGGCGAAGTGGAGTCATTAACGTTTGAGTAGGGATGGAGGATGAGTCAGTGGTGTTTGATTATAGACGGGGAGGAGTCAGTGGTGTTTGATTATAGACGGGGAGGAGTCAGTGGCGTGTGATTAGGGATGGGGAGGAGTCAGTGGCGTGTGATTAGGGATGGGGAGGAGTCAGTGGTGTGAGAAGTAGCTCCTGGGAGGGACAGCTAGCGTAACAATACCCCTCCTGTTACAGCTCAGGCAGTGCCCAAGTTATTTTCGTAGAGTGAACATCCAAGGAGAGATCGTGAGCCGAAGCTAGAGTGTCACACTTCACGCAGTGTCGATTCACACTCGCGCGTTTGTTTGTGTTAAATACATCTACAAATCTTTTTGCAAATAGACAAATTTCATCTCAAAAGTGGCCAGCACTTTCCTTGCGATTGAGAAGTCAAACAAATAGAAAACACACACATAGTGCCCAGTGCTTTTGTTCGTTGAAATTTAGCGAACTGATTGCGCCGAATTGTTCTATCAAGGACGCCCCAAAGCAGTATACTTTAATTGCCTCTAGCTTTACAATATCACCTATATTTGTTTAAAATTGTGCCAATTAGGGGAAACTGCGGCAAACTTCCCATTTTTATTTGCTCACTTACAACAATACCTTTGCTTATCAACATTCAAATTAGAATTAACTATAATAGACACCTTAATACCTTTATACAAACATGGGTGCGTTGAAACATCGCTTTGTTCTCAATATTTCGAAAGCAAATGAGTGAAAATATCATGTATTTGTTCATTTATAACTCATCATCAACGCACTATTATTTGATAACCACTGCACCATACATGCACGCACTGAATGTGGATGGTATGCGCAATAGTGATGTGTAGTCTGAATTGAATAAAATGTCGCCGACAGTCATTCTTAAATCATTCGTCCATCATTCTCAGTTTAATTAATGTCCGAAACTGTCAATAATGAGTGTTTTGATCCCAAGTAATTTATTGTGAAACTCGAGTGTCTTTTGTGTTGTACAACTTTTATTTGAAAAATCTAAATAAATCAACAACAATCAAGAAACTTCACTATAAAGACATCATCTACCAAAGACTCGGAACAGATCTGATGTACGATTGAATGTACCCATTAATTGTTGTGCACAGTGATTATAGCATAGTAATTAATCATATCACATAGCAGCTCTGAGAAACATAAATGTTGTGATTAGTTAAATCAGTGTTAAAATAGATTGATTCGTTCCTGTGCAAGTGAGTTAAATAAAAGTTTTAATATTTATATCGGCTGATCAAGAAAATTTTACTACGTGAGCGATCGATCAGTGTTAATTTATTAATTTAGCACTAAATGATTTTTATTATTGATGTGGCGTAAATGATTCATTTAATTTTAGAGTTGAATGTTAAAGTGTATGAAGTTGGCACTTGAAACTAAGCCTGAAAATATAGAAAAAGAATCCTATTGCAAAATATATTTCAGTGAACCGAGACGGCAGCACAAGACTTAGATTATTTTACGCTATGGAAATTTCGGTTTTGATTTGATGAGCCAAACGTTGGGTAAACTGTTACCTTAAAAGTGAATGTTGTAAGGTGGACATCTAATTTTGTAACTCAAATTCATTGGCATTAGAAAGCCTCTTCTACAAAAGATTGGAATCTTTAAAATCTGGGATTGGCAAGTAACGCTCGTATTTCAAGTTTCAAATGAAAAATATTGAGATAATTTTTCCACCTTACTTGGAAAACATCTTTATAATCTTCACCAGCGCAGCTTCAGCCCGTGTTTGACACTGAAAATTGTTCCCTGATTGTGTGAAGAGATTGAGCCCAGCCAGAAGGCGGGATAGATGCGTTATAGTGCCGAGTGTTCACTATGAGTTGTGCCCAGGTGATGTACCAACCGTATGCTGGTAGCCCCTACACGGCCCCCCCAACCCCACACACAACCCCAACGTCCAGTAATGGGGCTGATCCACACACACAACCCCACCAACCCCCTGCCCCAACCCAGGTGCAGCAGCAGCAGGCGTCTTTGCCGGACGTTTCTGCGCCGAACAACGCCGTTTCAACGCCGATATCTGCGGCCGCTGCCACCACCAACTCCAACACCCCGACGCCGACGCAGGCGCTGCAGCAGCACGCCAGTGACACCCCTAGAGAGGCAGCACAGGGACGATGTTCGTCCAGGGCGGCGCCCTACAGAGCCACCAGCAATGGTTCTGCTACAGGAGATGCCGACCAACCTCCTGAGAAGGTAACTTACACAATATATTTAATTTCCATTAGCAGTACTATCAAAATTTACCTAAGTGCACGTAGTGGCCCAAGTACGCGTAGTAGTTAGTACACGTACGTAGTGGTCCAAGTACACAGCGGTCCAAGCTATATATAGTGCACTTTGAGTCCAAGTACACATACCAGCGGTTATTACGCGTAGCAGCTTGAGTACACGTAGCAGCCTAATTAAGTACACGTAGCAGCCTAATTAAGTACACGTAGCAGCCTAATTAAGTACACGTAGCAGCCTAATTAAGTACACGTAGCAGCCTAAGTTCACTTCTTCTCACACATAAACTAACGCTGATTTTCCAGAAGAGATATATTTATTGGTCTCATTGAAGCATACGTTTAGTTGTGCGTCGTAGCCTGAAGAGCATTAATTTAAGTTTGTAGAGAAAATATTTTCGAGCGATTTGTTTATTATTGACATCACAAGCATCAGCATGCTCTTTAATATATCAGCTGATATCTTGAAATACTTTATCATCCTTCATATCTGGGGTGCATTCGATGTAAATTTGAAAAAAAACATACCTGAGACTTATAAAAAATGATTTTGTAGAGAAAGTATGGACAAAAGTGATAAATAAGTAAAAATCTATAGTAATAAACAAACTATAAATAAAAATATAAAGAATGTGTTTTCGTACCGCGTTTTAGACTGAAGCTTCGGAGCCTTTAATTGTGTAAAGAATATAAATTAACAAATTAATGACTTTTGTTGATCCGCATCAACAATGCAGGATATGTATTTAAAAGCAAAACATGCATGACGCAAATAAATAATATCATGGTACAAATAATAAAAGTATCCTGATACAAATCATAAGAAAATCTATATAACCACTAACTAATCGGCACAGAAGATGAACACAAAATAAATAAATCAAATTCTAACACGAACCTCCGCTGTGCATCAGAAACATTGAATAAGTGCAGGGCAAGTCTCAACGAGGTCACGTCAGAGGTGACTAAATTAATTAAATCAGAGGTGACTAAATTATAAATTACATACATCTTTACTTTTAGAAAACCATATATGCACCCCATGTGTTCCCGATCCTTAATTCATGCATCGGGGTTGGCTATGTTATAAACTACCGCTTTACATTTATTTTTGTCAACGACTCATATTGAACCTTGGAATAAACTATTCCGCGCCTGATATGGGTATTGACTTATATTAACCATCAGAAATATCGATCACGTTGTATATTTAAGCACCAGTGCTGTTTATATCAGATCATTTTATATACAAGTACCAGTGCTGTGTAAATCAGGTCATTGTATATTTGGTTTACCAGTTCTATATTCATTAGTCTATTTTAGATTTGGCTGTTTGACTTAATTTAATCAAAGTTAAGTATATTGAATGTGGCAATTCAGAACCCAGAATCTGTAAGGTATCAAGCTCGACGAAAACTTTTCGTTTTATAATAATTAAAATTCCTTGATAAAAGAAACGTTAATGTGAGAGAAATGATTGTTGCTTTGTCCAAATTGCAATACGACACTTTTCTCATATTCATCCATTTTAACATGTATATTGATTCAAATTAATCTTACCGAGTATATGTGTATTATTGTCGTTGAGTTCTGAAACTTGTATGTATATATATTGGCAAAATAAACGTAATTAGCGTTGTGTAGATAATGAGATCTTGTAGAACACTCCTTTAATAAGTGTAAAGCATTAATTAGCGTAAGTAGACTATGAGACTCTTGTAGAACACTCCTATATATAATAAGTGTAAAGCATTAATTAGCGTTGTGTAGATTATGAGACTCTGCAGAACACTTCTAATGAGTGTAAAGCATTAAGTAGCGTTTTATAGATAATGAGAATCTTGTATAACACTTCTAATATGTGTAAAATATTGTTTTATATCTGCCATGTTAATTAATCGAAATAAAGTTTTTAAGCATTGTTAATGGGGTAAATCGCTCGGTCAATTGAAAAATATATCGCCAACTATTGAGCAAAAAGCTTTAACATTTATTATATTATGCGGTTATAATGCCTATTTGAAACAAATTTTTATTTATTATCGCATTGAGACAAATTATTATTTATTATCGCACTGAAACAATACATTATATGTTATCGCATTGAGACAAAGTATTATTTATTATCGCATTGTTAAGGCATAAAAAATACACTCAAATGTGTTTAGTTTCTTTAATTTTTAGTTGAAAAAGAACAGAAGGAAACGAGCGAATCTGTTTTCAGTTCGGAGTTGTTACTCAGACCTGAGCAGCTGATCTGAGCAGCTGATGTGAGCAGCTGATCTGAGCAGCAGATCTGAGCAGCTGAAATGAGCAGCTGATCTGAGCAGCTGAACTGAGCAGCTGATCTGAGCAGCTGATCTGAGCAGCTGATCTGAGCAGCTGATCTGAGCAGCTGATCTGAGCAGCTGATCTGAGCAGCTGATCTGAGCAGCTGATCTGAGCAGCTGATCTGAGCAGCTGATCTGAGCAGCTGATCTGAGCAGCTGATCTGAGCAGCTGATCTGAGCAGCTGATCTGAGCAGCTGATCTGAGCAGCTGATCTGAGCAGCTGATCTGAGCAGCTGATCTGAGCAGCTGATCTGAGCAGCTGATCTGAGCAGCTGATCTGAGCAGCTGATCTGAGCAGCTGATCTGAGCAGCTGATCTGAGCAGCTGATCTGAGCAGCTGATCTGAGCAGCTGATCTGAGCAGCTGATCTGAGCAGCTGATCTGAGCAGCTGATCTGAGCAGCTGATCTGAGCAGCTGATCTGAGCAGCTGATCTGAGCAGCTGATCTGAGCAGCTGATCTGAGCAGCTGATCTGAGCAGCTGATCTGAGCAGCTGATCTGAGCAGCTGATCTGAGCAGCTGATCTGAGCAGCTGATCTGAGCAGCTGATCTGAGCAGCTGATCTGAGCAGCTGATCTGAGCAGCTGATCTGAGCAGCTGATCTGAGCAGCTGATCTGAGCAGCTGATCTGAGCAGCTGATCTGAGCAGCTGATCTGAGCAGCTGATCTGAGCAGCTGATCTGAGCAGCTGATCTGAGCAGCTGATCTGAGCAGCTGATCTGAGCAGCTGATCTGAGCAGCTGAAATGAGCAGCTGATCTGAGCAGCTGAACTGAGCAGCTGATCTGAGCAGCTGAACTGAGCAGCTGATCTGAGCAGCTGATCTGAGCAGCTGATCTGAGCAGCTGATGTGAGCAGCTGATCTGAGCAGCAGATCTGAGCAGCTGAAATGAGCAGCTGATCTGAGCAGCTGATAAATCTACGTAATTTACTCTCCACATTTAAGTGTCTGTCAATATATTAATTTAGAAATATTGTGATGGAAAAGCCACATTCTTGAGCAAAAATTATAAAAATTATATTAATCATCGATGTGCGCAATTTTTTGTCTAGTTTATCAGTCTCTTGCATATGTAAAGTATTTAAATAAATAAATGAATCCCAATTCGCCCGTTTCCGTATTTCCGAAACGATTCCTTCAGCTTGTAGATATCGCTGAAGTAATGATGGCGTGGTTATAATTACACACTTTTAGGTTCTCAATTTAAAGCGTTCACTCACTAAAATTGTTTGATCATATTGTCAAAATAGTGACGCACTTCTGCTCGTAGCACTGATACGCCTCGTTATACCAGGGCTAACTGGGTCGCAATGACCCAGAAATGACAAAAAGTGCATGGCTACTTGGAGTTTTCGCCATGGGCAAATTTATTTAGGCTAATAATATTGTTGATTAGCATATTGTAGTATAATATAATGTAATATTATATATTATTAATTGATATAATGTAATATAAATTGATGTAATGTAATATAATATAATATAAATGGATATAATGTAATAAAATATAATATAAATTAATATAGTGCAATATAATGTAAAATAAATTAATGTAATGTAATACAATAAATGCGGTCATCGGATTCTCGCTGACAATCAAAGGATTCGATTTCGTTCGTCAAGTTCGCAACATTTTACCGCATTCGATTTTTACCGCAACTGAAAATCAAGGCAGGATCATCAGCGGCCATAAATCACGATTTGTACAGTGATGAACATCGCCGTGTCATCGGTGGCCACCTATAAACCTGCCATAATCACGCCACGTGAGTCAGTCGCTGTCAAACATGTGCGTCTGAGCTTCCTGTCTCACGGCTGACACTAGTGACTCATAACGCTGACATATGCCTGGCAGACCTGTTACCTTCCCTGCACTGCTGACACTCATGTGTCAGTTGTGTCAGCGCTGTGTCAGTTGTGTCAGCGCTGTGTCAGTTGTGTCAGCGCTGTGTCAGTTGTGTCAGCGCTGTGTCAGTTGTGTCAGCTATACAGCACAACGCTTCGTGGCACATATAACGCAGACTTACAAGACGTTTATTTAAGTGTCGCTTCGACATAAAAACAATTATTAATTTTTTTAGAATGATTAATCCACTTGAAAGGCAATGTTTTACAGTATTTTTAAATGTCATTCCCATTAAAAGATGCTATACTTTTACGTGTTATTCCCATTAATAGATGCTTCACTTCTACATGTAATTTGCATTAATAGATGCTTCACTTCTACATGTAATTTGCATTTATAGATGCTTTAATTTTACGTGTAATTCCAATTAATAGACGCTTGACTTTTGCATGTAATTCCAATTGATAGATACTTCACTTCTACACGTAATTCCCATTAATAGATGCTCTATGAAATTAGTAAATTTCGTAAAAAAACACTCCATGGAACAGCAGGAAACTTCTCAGCAAGGGCTGAAATCGCTAATCATTCCAGTCCACAGTTTAAATGAGATTGTAGGTAATGACTGTAGATTTGGTGTATGCAGTGCAGGCTGGTGTATGCAGTGCAGGCTGGTGTATGCAGTGCAGGCTGGTGTATGCAGTGCAGGCTGGTGTATGCAGTGCAGGCTGATGTATGCAGTGCAGGCTGATGTATGCAGTGCAGGCTGGTGTATGCAGTGCAGGCTGGTATGTGCAGTGCAGGCTGGTGTAGTATGTACAGTGATCTTACAACATGTGAGCTTAGCATGTCTCATGCACTCTCATCATTTCATTCTCGCATTCTAGCCCGTTTTCTTAATTCCATTATTGGTCCTTCTAATCTCTCCTAATATCGAAAGTATGCAAGAAACTTCAAACTAATATATGAGTAATACTCACATAATTTATTCTTTCATAAATTCTTTTCAGACAAATGGATTGCATGCTTCTCCATTTTTCCACCTACTGCATCATTTTCAGACTTCAGACAATCATGAAATGCCTAGCACCATATGCATATAATATCGAACCCGGTGGAAGTCTTGTAGCTACTTTAAACTATCATCAGTCATGAAAAGATCCGGTCAAATGACACGATTTTCGATCTAAGTAATAATGTCACTTAATGTGAAATTTTAGATCTGATTTAGATCTAAGTAATAATGTCACTTAATTAGAATAAGTAATAATGTGGAGTTTTCTTTGCTATTAAGTTTTTAGATTTTAGATCTTCTCTGAAAAAGGCACGAAAAGTACAAGAATCGGCGACAGGCAACATCAGGCCTACGCTTCAGCGCCGACATCACTATGATATGTTATATATAAATTTTTGTGATATCTGAAAAGCCACAATAATTGTACGTAATTTATTAGGATACACAGTAATTCAACGTCATTCGTACTGTGTTGACGATTCCGCCAGCCTGCAGTATCCTGCAGTGGTGTAGTGGTGTATTCATCAACATCTACCAGGCCGAAAGGTTGAAATAATAATAATTATAATAACAACGCTAATTAAAGGTTGAAATAAAGTTGAAATAATGTTGATTTAACGCCGAAATAAGGTTGATTTGGAGTTGAAATAATGTGGATTTAACGCTGAAATAACGTTAATTTAAAGTTGAAATAATGTTGATTTAACGCTGAAATAACGTTGATTTAAAGTTGAAATAAAGTTGATTTTACATAAAAAATAACGTTTATACAAAGTTGAAATAACGTTGAGTTACCGTTGAAATAACATTGAAATTATGTTGATTTAACGTTAAAATAACGTTGATTTTACCTTTAAATAACGTGAATTTAACGTTGAAATAACATGGATTTAACGTTAAAAAACGTTGATTTAACGTTGAAGTAACGTTGATTTAACGTTGAAGTAACGTTGATTCAACGCTGTTCCAACAACCTCAGCTCGTAATCAACTTTGTTTAACGTCATTCGCCTTTGTGTACACCCAAAGAAATAAGTGATACCTTTTCCCATGAGTGGGTCATCGTGACTCAGTCTGGCCCAGGCAAAAAGTCGTATTAATGCTACGTCCGCTCTCTGCTCATAATGTGCGTGTGAAAAGTGCGTCACTTTCTGGACCTGTCTCTTATACACATCTAGATGTGTATAAGAGACAGNAGTATGATTATATTTTTTCATTGCTAAAGACACGATATAATATGTTTTATTTATCATTGTCAAAAGCAGGTATTGTTATCAGTAATATTTGATCTTTATCATTGCTAAAAACACGCTATCTTATGTTTTATTTATCATTGCCAAAATCATGATATTGTTATCGTTTATATAACTAGTGGCACGAGGTTACATGTTTTCCTTGTCATCGCCATAAGCACGATATCTTATTTTGTCTGTAGGTTAGTATACTATTAGCCATTCAGTTCAGAACATGTACTATTTGTCAATCAGTTCCTGACATGCACTATTTGCCAATAACTTCGTGACATGTACCTACTATTTGCCAATCAGTTTGGGACATGTACTATTTGCCGAAAACTTCGTGACTTGTACTATTTGCCAATCACTTTGGGATATACATTATTTGCCAATCAGTTTGGGACATGTACTATTTGCCAATCAGTTCGTGACATGTACTATTGTCCAATCAGTTCAAGACACGTACTATTTGCCAATCCTTCTATAGTCCATGAATGCGGCATGCCCCGCCAATCACAACATACCCTGCCAATAATAGCATACCCCGCCAATCATAGTATGTTCCGCCAATCAAGATATGCCTCGTCATTCACTACGTACCTTGTCAATCATGGCCTACTCTCCAATCACCACAGGCTCTACCAATCAGCACAGGCTCTACCAATCACCACAGGCCCTGCCAATCACCACAGGCTCTACCAATCAGCACATGCGCTGCCAATCACCACAGGCTCTACCAATCAGCACATGCGCTGCCAATCACCACAGGCTCTACCAATCAGCACATGCGCTGNGCGATTGTCTCGTCGTCGGGGCGCGATTGTCTCGTCGTCGGGGCGCGATTGTCTCGTCGTCGGGGCGCGATTGTCTCGTCGTCGGGGCGCGATTGTCTCGTCGTCGGGGCGCGATTGTCTCGTCGTCGGGGCGCGATTGTCTCGTCGTCGGGGCGCGATTGTCTCGTCGTCGGGGCGCGATTGTCTCGTCGTCGGGGCGCGATTGTCTCGTCGTCCGTGCGCGATTGTCTCGTCGTCGGGGAGCGATTGTCTCGTCGTCGGCGTGTGATTGTCTCGACAATTGGCACGGCGCGCGTCTCGAAGCGCACATTCCTCGCCAACAATCCCCTACTAAAAATCATAGCCGCGCCATCGGTGGCCACGGCTGGCCGGCCATACGCCGGCCGTGGTTGGCAGTGCCGCTTGAGAGCAAGAGTGCCGGGCTGGCTAATTGCTGCCGTGATATATAGTGTGATGCTACCTAATTAACTAGATATTAATTAGTTGCGTTACTCAGGTAACTAGATAGCCTTGCGCCCTACTAAAGTAACTAGATATCTGCTATAGCGTTACTAGATACTCTCTTGTACCTAATTACTAAATATCTACTAATTGTTACTGATATTCCACTAGTATCTTTAGTAACTTGATATCCATAAGTACCTAGTAAGTTAATATCCACTAGCAACTAGTTATTCACTAGTTCCTAGCCACTAGATATCCACTAGTAACAAGGGTTGGACAAAATAAGGGAACATTAAAAAATCAACAAAATATGTTTTACTTTTTATTGTGGAGGCCAAACTTGTGTGGCAATCACAGCCTCAATTGTCCGTAGTGTTGAATAGTGAATAGTTCGTGTGTGACTAGCGCCTGGTTCATACAAATAGTGAATAGTTCGTGTGTGACTAGCGCCTGGTTCATACAAATAGTGAATAGTTCGTGTGTGACTAGCGCCTGGTTCATACAAATAGTGAATAGTTAGTGTGTGACTAGCGCCTGGTTCATACAAATATTGAATAGTTACTGTGTTTTAATAAGAATAAAACATCAAAAATTTTTTTTTAAATATTCCCAAAATTAAAGAATTTTATTTAACAGGAATAATAAAAAAAAACAAATAAACATTAAAATATTTGAAGTTTATATTATCTAATATATGTAAAAATTGTATGATTTATGCATTAATAGTGTATGAATATATATGTTATAATTACTATTATTATTTAATTATTAATGTATAACCTCTGTATATATTGCTGTATATTATGTATAACCTCTGTATTTATTGCTGTATATTATGTATAACCTATGTATTTATTGCTGTATATTATGTATAACCTCTGTATTTATTCCTGGTATATTTCAGAAGCTGTGCAGTGAGAGGCAGACGCCTGTGACACCAGCAACACCATCACACCCATACCACCCCCTACACCATCACCACCATCACCACCACCTGCTCAACCAACACCATCTACCATCACACCAGCACCACCAACACCACCACAACCTCATCACCAACGCTGACGTCACCGACGCTAACGCCAACGCTGCAGCCAACGTTAGTGACGTTATACGTTATGATAATATAATGTAACGTTATACGTTATAATAATATAATGTAACGTTATACGTTATAATAATATAATATAACGATATACGTTATAATAATATAATGTGACGTTATGCGTTATAATAATATTATATAACGATATACGTTATGATAATGTAATGTAACGTTATACGTTATAACCATAACCTACACCCAAAAGAATGGGTGAGGTTTTGTCCAAATAACGATGCACTTTTTGTCCTGGTGTGTGGGTCATCCTGACACACTTTGGCCTAGCACAACGGGCGTATCAGTGCTACTATATAAGCTCTCTGCTCGCGCTGTGGACGAGGAATTGTGTCATTATTTAGACAAAATTACTCATGCATTTTTCTTAGTGTATGCGAATGTCTTTATTTAAATCATTATCGTATTTTTTTATGTATAAAAATAAATATCCTGTTGATTTTTATGGTTTAGATTAAACGAAACTCATTATAAATTAATGTAATAATTTCATAACTAATAACAATTTTCCCCATTATGATATAATTGAAATAAATAAATATATATATATTACTAATTTTTTGCTGTGTGTCTTAATTGTACCTGCCATGTGTACCAGCCATGTGTACCCTGTCTCTTATACACATCTCGGGGCGCGTTTGTCTCGTCNTGTAACGTTATACGTTATAATAATATAATGTAACGTTATACGTTATAATAATATAATGTAACGTTATACGTTATAATAATATAATGTAACGTTATACGTTATAATAATATAATGTAACGTTATACGTTATAATAATATAATGTAACGTTATACGTTATAATAATATAATGTAACGTTATACGTTATAATAATATAATGTAACGTTATACGTTATAATAATATAATGTAACGTTATACGTTATAATAATATAATGTAACGTTATACGTTATAATAATATAATGTAACGTTATACGTTATAATAATATAATGTAACGTTATACGTTATAATAATATGATGTAACGTTATACGTTATAATAATATAATGTAACGTTATACGTTATAATAATATAATGTAACGTTATACGGTATAATCATAACCTACACCCAAAGGAATGTCTGAGGCTTTGTCCAAATAACGATGCGCTTTTTGTCCTGGTGTGTGAGTCATTTTGACTCACTTTGGCACAGCACAAAGGGCGTATCAGTGCTACTACGCCGGCTCTCTGCTCGCGCTGTGGATCAAAAATTGGGTCATTATTTGGACAAAATGCTCCACTAATTTTTCTTAGTGTTCGCAAGTGTCACCATTTGAATCATTATCATAATTTTTTGTCTATAAAAATAAATACCCTGCTGCTTTTTACGGCTTAAGTTAAACAAAATCATTATAAAATAATATTATAATTTCATAACTAATAACAATCTTTCCCGTAATGTTATAAAAATTGCAATAAATAAAAAATATATAATAATAATTTTTTTGCTGTGTGTCCTAATTGTACCTGCCATGTGCACCTGCCATGTGTACCTGCCATTTGTACCTGTCATGTGTACCTGCCATGTGTACCTGCCATTTGTACCTGCCATGTGCACCTGCCATGTGTACCTGCCATTTGTACCTGTCATGTGTACCTGCCATGTGTACCTGCCATGTGTACCTGTCATGTGTACCTGCCATGTGTACCTGCCATNCACTACAAAGGTGGGTCACCACTACAAAGGTGGGTCACCACAACAAAGGTGGGTCACCACAAGAAAGGTGGGTCGACAATGTATTGTGTAATGCCAATATTTAATTTGCATGCATTGCATCTAAGGTTTTATAATATTCACTGGAAATTTTCATTATCTTACAGTATATGGTCAGTTTATTAACAAAATATTGTCAGTATATTGTCCGTATATAGTCAGTATATTGTCAGTTACTTCACAGCTTATTGCGTGTATATTGCCCCCCTATCGTAGGAATGTCAAAATATTCCCAATTTATCGCCAGTATATTGCCTGCAAATCGTCAGTCGCTATAATATTGCCAGTATATCTACTGTATATCAGTACAACAAACTATATATCGTCATTATATTGCCAGTACATCAGAAGTATATTTCTAGTGAATCTCCAGTATATTTCCAGTGTATATGAGCAGAATATTGCCAGTACATCGCCAGTATATCATCTGTCTCTCGCCGGTATATTGCCAATACATCACAAGTATATCGCCAGTAAATAGCGTGTATATCGCCAGTATATCACCCGTATATCACCAGTACATCACATTTATATCGTCTGAATATCGCCAGTATATTGCCAGCATGTGGCCTGTATTTGACCAGTATGTCACAGTGTATTGTCTACTTATCTCCAGTATCAATAATATAATTAAGTCAATAATTAAGTTAACTCCTAGTTGTAATTATTATATTTTTATTATTTAGTTGTACTGTATTAAATAAATTATCGTCTCTAAATTATCGTCTCTAATTATTATCGCGGCCAACACGGTTTACCGTACACTCGAAAAAAAATATTAAGATTATTAATTAATTTAAATCAAACGTACCGAACGAGACGTCGTGGCGAACACGGTTCACCGTACACTCAGAAAAATTAAGGGGCCATAATGTTCAACAAGTCTTACAAATAACGAGTTACATACTTATACGGGTTACATTTTCATCTAATTTAGCCTAAAGCACATCAGTTTTCCTGAAATCACTGACTTGAAAGTAAGGTTAGCAAATTGTAGCTATTAATCCCCAGAACCAATAAAAATGAAATTGGAAATGCAATGGAGAATATACTCTAGAGGAGCATAACGATTCCGTACAGCAAAGTGGGATGTTTTTTATAGAGTAATTGCAATAAACAGAGTAGTGGATGATCTTTAAACGCTATATAGCCTAGAATGTGCTGCATAGAATGAGAATGTACTGCTACAATCTAGTTATTTGTATGGGATAAGTAGCTAAATAAGCTTTCCCTAAAGCCTACAAAATGGAAGGCAAACTTAAGGAACGATAAATGGTAGTAAAACTCCCATTAAAACACTAATATAATGAATGGATCACAGAAACATCTCAAAAATAAAGTTAAATATTATTGCGTCGGTCCCCATAAGTGATAAGCATCACCTGCCTATTCCTAAAGATATGGCATTCCCTCGCGAGGTTCACACCCATGGTTGAACTAGTAGAAGGTTGACCATCAGAAGCCCATTTTTGCGGATGTAGTTCGTTGTTCGCCTGTGACGTCACGATCTCAGTGACGTCACGGGCATTAACCAATCACCGAAATGCGTTCAAACCAGTCAACCAATCCGTCATGGGAATGACGGGTTTGTTTACGACCGGCAGACGGTCGTTGTATACGCGGATTATTATAAGGTATCGGCAGACGGTATTGTACGCGGACAGACGGTCGTTGTACGCGGATTCCCACATTTTTACTTTTTATTCTTACTTATGTAGCTCATCTATAGTGGCAAGTAGCAGATTTTGCCCCTGGAAAATATATAGTATCGTATATCAAAAATATTCACAGCTGGTAAACTGATATACGATACGCATGGTTGAACTATATAAGGTTGACCCACGAGAAGTTCCGTCTTTCAGTTCAGCTTTCTTGTTACGTCACTGAGATCGAGAAACGTAAACAAACCCGTCCCATGATTGAGTGGTAGACTGGTTTGACCGCATTTCGGTGATTGGTTAATGCCTGTGACGTCACTGAGATCAGTGACGTCACAGGCGAACAATGAACTACATCCGCATAAATGAGCTTCTGATGGGTCAACCTTATACTAGTTCAACCATGTCTAGTTCATTACTCTTCAATGTTTGCCATCACGCCATGTTGTATCGGAATTCATTCCGTTTGACATGATTAGCAGTTTTCCTTTTGTGAGAAACATACCAATCTTTTTAACTTTGAACCTGGAAGCATATATAGATAAAAGCAAACAACAATATTTTGGCTTAAAGATGTAATTCTGAGACCTCGCGCAGGTTTCAGTTAGCAAAGCCAAAACGTTTATATCTTAAGAACCCGCAAAATACGGAACTATATAATCAGATGAGAAGTACGTATATTGGGGGCTGAGAAATCCGTTCATAGCTTCGTCATTGGTGGCAGCGCATGACTGTTGTTCAACATAATCACGTTGAGTCAGGTTGTCAATGAGATGCAAATACCGTAGCCCAAATAATTAAGTGCTACTATAAGGTGCGATTATAAATAGGTGCTAGTGAGGTGCTACTATAAATAGGTGCTACAAAGCTAGGGTATATAACAATGAAGGCTGTCTCTCTGCAACTCATTCAACGTTTGCAAGGGTATACCCTCGCTGCCAAAGAATAACCATCAACCCAACACAGTGGGAGACGACTTCAACGCATCAGTCTCTTAATTAAAGGGAAGTCCAAACTCGGATACGACTGCATAATATAACTCGAGACCCACTCGAGTCTATAAAAAAAAAATCCAACCTTTTTTTAAGATCAATCGTCCATTGCGAAATTACTTTATAGACAATGACGCTGGTTTTTAGTAATAAATGAACTAATATAAGAATTACGAAAGGCCTTTTGTCGTTGACTCAAAAATTGAGACTAGACGAACATAATAAAGCATCTCAAATCACAGGCAAACTGAACCTTAATCATAAATTTCAGGTAATAATTGATGCATGTAGAATTACGCTCAATTGGAACTATCCTTGCACCTATTAAAGAAATGTTTCCTGGTTTATTTATAAAAAAACATAGATTTATAAAAAATAAAAAGGAGGAGTTTGAATCGGCATCAAAAACTAGAGGAAAAAGCGCCTGAAAATAACTATTCATTCCGCCGTAATCTCGTATCTAAGTTTAGTGTAACACAAAAAGCTCAAGGTTAACTCCAAACCCAAAATAAAAATTATATGGAACAAACAAAAGCATTTCGTATTCAACCTTATAAAATTTATAACCACTTCATGAGAGCCTGCTGAGGGTTTCCGAAATAGCGCTATTGCT